GGAGTATTCAGTGGAGATTTTTTTTTAAAGGTAGATTGTGGCTTCCTGTATTAGCTGTGTTGTCATATATTTCTGGGGTAAAGTCTCAAAATATAAAGTCTAATGGAGTGCAAAAATTAAAAAAAAAAAAAAAAAAAAAAGATCCTGCCCGAGGAAATGATCGGAAAAATTCTTTTAAAAATGCACCTTATATACGCCTGGATGGTTTTTATTATTAGCGGTATCAGTGTGTGTGTGTGTGTGTGTAACCTCATATTGTCATTGTGGACTCACAGACGTCAGCACAGGTCAGCTGCTCACTCTCCTCCAGATGGTCAGTGAACCTCAGCCTCCTCAGAAAAAAGAGGAGGAGGATCCATTCACTGTGTCACACAAGGTGCCAGTTCACTTTAGCAGATTGACCGGTGCACTGATGCAGCCACCGAGGAGGATGAGGAAAGCCTTTAAATCCCCGCCCGGGCCCGCTGCAGGCCGAGCTGCGGCTGCACGCATGTGTCCCTCCAGATCCTCGTCCCGCACCCTCGTCTCATCGCAGATATTTGCAAACAGATGCGAAGAAGGCAGGCCGCCTTGCTTTTTTTGATTAATCAAGCTTTAACAAGTCAAGTTGACTGGATGCGAATGTAACATTTAGCATGTGAAAAGAGGAGGCCTGGTTTTGATTAGGCCTAAGCTGATAAATGGCAGATTCAAACAGGCCCCCCTGCCATTGGAGAGAAACCCCAGAGGTCCAGAGGTTTAAGTCCAGACTGATATCAACTCTGTTGCTTCTCTTTCTTCTTCACACCAATGAATAGATCCATTATTCAGTAGACTCATTCGCATCTCCTAAATTGAAGTGGCAGCAGCTTAAAAGCCCCGTTTTCTAACCCCCCCTTCTCGCTTTTTATACGGAGTCGCACTCCCTAACAAATTTGCCTGCTGAAATATTCATGGGTGCGATTTGTCTCAGTTTGTGCCCCTCGTGTAATCATCGCTTTTACATTTGGGATTTTTGCACTGAATCAGGGAAATAAGCTCATTTCTTTCTCCTAATAGAGTATGTTTAAAAGGAGTCTTTACATGAAAGTGGCATAAAAACATCACTTAAAACAATACAGAATTGAATTTAGCAGATACTGTTTCTGTACTTTGCTTTTTTGCATGCAAAAGGACTGTATTGTAATCTGCTGGCATGCTTATCTCCCTTCTGTTTTCCTTTGGGTAGCTTTACATTGTTATAATAAGGATTCCCACTCACAAGCTACAACTTTCTCTTTTGAAAATCAACTCCTAAAAAGAATTTAATTTTTTTTTGTACATCTTGTAAATAAACTCCGGCTTGATATACTTGGTATCTTGGGAAACTTGTAAATCTACAGTTTAATTAATGCCCCATAAAAAAAATACATGTTTTTTTAAAAACTCTCTAGAAGGGCAAAAGTGATGCCTAGAAGATTAGCCTGGTTTTAAAATAAAAAGAAGACCGTTCATATGCCAGAAGTTGTTTTGACCAGCCAAACAGCTGTAACATTTACCCAAATGTGCCAAAAAAATGCACAGCAAGTTATCAGAAAAGACTTTGTTGCCACAACAATGCAGTTCGATGGTCTATAACTCAAAAAAACTGAAGGTAACATTTTGTCTGGGTTCATTAAATATACTAAAGTCGATATATAAAAACAGCTGAGCCTCTGAAAAGCTTTCCTATTATATCCGTGTAGTTCCACTGTAGAGTTTGCATGGAAACCTGCCTCCCAGTAGACCCACATGTGGACAAACTGCTGTCAGTACAGGGAAGCATGTCGTTATTGAGTTGATACTAGAGCGAGGGTCGAAACTTTGTTTCTATCTAAGTTCAGTATGTAGGCCATAGAATTTTGTTAAAGCAATTAATTTTTTAAAATGAAGAAATAGAACTGAAGTTGTAAACAACACAAGTTGACATCACCAGAGTTAAATGTTATGCCTTTGATCTTTGAACACATCTGGAAACAGTGTTTTTTTTTATTTTTTTAAGTCCTGAAAATAGAAAAAATTAAAAAATAGAAAGTAGAAAAAGTTTGCTATCACAGAAACCTCAGAAAAGTGGTTCTTAACCTTGTTGGGGGTACTGAAGCCCACCAGTTCATTCACTGAACCCCTCTTTAGTGAAAAATAAAATGTGATTTTTTTCAAATTCAAGACATAGATATGTTTTTTACTGGTGCACAAAATGAGCCGTGCATGTCACGGCGGAGGCTCTGCCAAACCCCTGAGACCGACTCCCCGAACCCCTAGGGTTTAGGGTCTAGGCGCTTTTCAGTGTTTTTCCTAAGCAGAAATGATTTAATACAAATGCTAATATTTCCCTCTAATATACTCAAACGCAGGAAAAACCTTTTCCCTATTCAACCACAGCAGTGCCGTTCATTTCAAGGCCTTGGCCGCTGCATCTATTCATCTCACTTTCTGTCTTCATATAAAGACCCAGCAGCCAAGTGCCACTCTGACCCCCTTCCTCCCCTCCTTCGCTCCCTCCTCCCCGATCTTGGTCAACTGGACGTCCTGTGAACCTCTCGCCCCGTATTGTCCCCCCTCCCTGACCCCGGTGCGACCAGAGGAGAGAAATATTGCCCTAATCCACTCTGCACACACACACATGCACACACCGTGAGAAGCCTGACGTTGTTACTAGAGCTGCATGTTTCTTTTGACTATCACACATAAAGATGATGAATTCACCGTCTGAAATTTAGTTTGTCTAAGAGTACAGTTAACATGGCTTCCCCTAGCTCTCAACTTTTGCCTTTGTTTTCTTCTCTTTCCAGTCGACTTTTTGGCAAAGTACTGCATTTTCAGTCAGGAGAAGTTGGCCGAGTACAAAAGGGCTTTTGAAGCAGTAAGTGAAAAGGGATTTAAACCCTTTATATTCCCCTTTTTCTTTTAGGATATTCTGTTTCACTCACTGTAATTTACTGCTCTCCCTCCCAGAAATAAGGATTTTTTTTTCTCCTGACGGTAGCAATGGCTTGCAAAATTTAGGAAAACAGTAAAAATGTTTATCTCAGAATTTAAGAAAAATCACTTTTTTCCAGTTTGCAATCACAGTCAACAAAGAAAACCAATGAGTATTAAAAGAAGGTTGAAACAGATTTCAGCCTTAAGAAAAGATTCTGCTAGTTAATTAATGTGATAATTCACACCTTGGTTGGATTCCTAAAATATTTCCAAGGGTCATAACGAAAAGTCAAAAGAAACGACTTTAAATCTCAAGTTTTGAGTTTTTGTTTTGCTTTTTTGTAAAATATTTAACATTTTTTCCACTTTAACCACTATGCTCTGCAACTGGTTGCCGAGTGGTTGCTGGATTTTGCTGGTTGTTACTAGGTGAAAGCACCAAAAGCCTTCTATGCTATGCTTTGGTGGTTAGCATGGAAGACGGCAACTTGTCTGCAAACAGTTGACAACTACTCGCCAAGCAGTAGTGAAATGTGAAAAAGTATGAGGCAACCTGGAGTTTTTTTCCCTTCAAACTAAAAGTTCCACCTTACCGCCACAACCAATATGTTTTAAAAAGCACAGTTTTTAGTTTGAAGGCAAAATGTTTCTGTTTCTAGTTTACGTTTTGAAGTTTCACTACCGAAAAGACGACAAGTTGGCATCATTCATGCAAACTAGAGGCAATCTTCTACCAACCAATCTGGTGGTGTAACCTCGAGCAACCACTCTCCAACTAGTTGGGGAATACACGTTTTCCTCTAGCGACCGGTCTCTAGTCCTGCGTGATTCAGGTTTTATATTCACCTTTATTCTTTAGTATATTCTCTTTCTTTCACTGTAATTTGCTGAACTTCCTTTTAGAAATGATGTAATTTTTCCCACTGATGGTAGTAAGGTTGACAATAAGTTGGCTTTTAATTAATCAGTTAATCCAATCATCCTCAAACTGGATGGATTTATTTCCAAAGGTAATAAAGAAAGTAAAGGTCAAGCTACAGATTTTAATCATCTATCACAACTTTCTGTTGTTTCTTTATATAGTACCCAGCATTTTTCCCTGTTTAATCCTTTAAGTTAAAGATGGTAATGGCAGTCTTCTTTTGCAGGAGGACAGTGACGGTGATGGCTACATCTCCTGTCTGCAGGTCCTCCTCGCTCTTAAAAACATCATCCCTCCTGAGCTGCTGTCCGAAGAGGAAGAGATCTACGTCTACAGGGTGGGTCTTCCCTTTGCCTGCACACGCTCACATCACACATTCACGACACTTTAACAGTTGCATGGGTTTGCTTTTTGGATTTCTTTTCTTTCTTTTTTTCAGATCCTGGAGATGGTGGACTTCAGAGTGACAGATGGGCTCGTGGACCTGAGGCTGTTTGCTGTAATTGCAAGCCTGGCACAGAAAATTGCATCCATGGAGTAAGTGACCAACTAACACACCCCTCAGAGAAGCCGGAGGAGGAGTTGCTGACCTCCCATAAATAAGAATAGGACTGTGTATGCAAGTTTGTTCCAGTGATTTTGCCATCGTGTGTGGGACTCTCTTTGATCCACTTTGCCTTTTTAGAAATGTTTTATACGACTTTAGAGGTCAAGGTTTTGAGTCTGGATGTGATAACTGTGCACTTTGCCCTTGAGGGCTGAAACCAATGTTGAATAGTCACCAGAATTTGACTTAATTCAAACTTATCTTACCATGAAAAAGTTGGATATCATATATGTCCATTAATTTGGAAGAAAACAGCTAGAAAAATGATGCAAAAGCTGTAAAAGAGTTAAAAACTTTATTTAAAGAGCTGTGTTGTATTACTTTTAAAAAGTAATGCATTGCCTCCTTAAAGAGAGTAAAAGTTATATAATTACCAAATAAACAGTATAAAACTAACAATACAGCCACACCGTGACACAAATCCCTGTGCTAATGAAGGCACACGCTACTCTTTCTTTTAGTCTTTAGGTTTTATTACAAAGATGACCAATGAGCGCATCACAGGAAACACTGACTGCACTGTGGCCGTGAAGCAAGTCTGCTCAACTGGTTTTAGCTTTCGAAACTCAAGCTTTGGCTCTTTTCTTGTAAGAGGGGTCTTCATACACTCACTCTGGGGTCGTTGCCTACATGGACCGTCGACTACTGTGTCACAAACGACCGTTCTGTGTGTTACTCTCACGTGTGCTGTTGTTGGTGCTTGCAGGTGTCCACTTCATTCCTATAGAGCTCCACTGTGGCCCCGCTGCCAGTAGCATCTGTGTGTTTATTTATGTGCAGTATCTTTATTTGTATTGATAAACAGACTGCAGTGAACAGGATGGATGAAAGGATTATATATAATTATATATAAAATAAAGAGAAAACATCTGGTTGTCTGTAGGAACTTACTGTACATTAAATAATAATCACTTTCTCTGACCCTCGAATAACAGTATTATTGCTTTTGGTAAATATACCTGTAGTTATTTTATATAAAAATCATTAAAATTGATACATTATAATGTATTTATTGTAGTTTGTCTGACTGCTGGTCTGCAATTAATACATCAAAAAAAATGCAACAATTTATTAATTTATTTATTTAAAACAACCCTGAAACAAAACAAAACAAAAAAATTCTCCTCATATCAAACGCTCTACAATCCAGGGGGCAGCTTGCTGTGTGTCTGTGTTTTTAGGTAAAAAGAAAAAAAGTATTCAGTGTTTTTCTGCATATATCAGGTGTTTTCACTCCTTTTTCACTTTTCACGGCGTAAACGGGAGAAAAAAGAATTTGCAGGCGAACAGATCGTGAAAATAACCGAACCCTGAACCCTGCTCGGGCGGCGCTCGGCCTCCGCGTCCTTGTGTCTCTGCATTGTGCCCCATATGTCGCAGATTCCCACACACAGTGATCTCTCGCTGCCCCGGGCTCTATAGCTTCCTACACACAGGAGAGTGTGGAGCCAAGCCAGCACCAGAGGTCTCCGAGGGTCAAGGCCTGCACCCAAAACCTTCACCCCAGAGTGAGAGCTCCCTCTCAGCGAGTACGGGGCCAGGGTCACGGGTCCTCTGATTTACGGCCAACCCCTTTGTGTGGTGCATTAGAGGAGGCCTGTAGACTGGCTGCCTCGCTGGCACAGAAAGCCCAGGGTGTCTGCGCTCTATAGAGGCAATTATAGTAATGATAATGAATGTCCATATTAAACCTCTTTTCACAGAACTCCTTTCTGCGATTTAAATGATAAGAAGAGAGGAGATCAGCGCTCCTATCGCCACCTCCTAAACAAGGAGAAAACAATAGCATCCTTCTGCCGTTTCATCCCAACTGAACTCAGCTGATCCTCTTACCTGTTTCACTTAATCCTGTTGTCTGTAATCCTAGCTTTGAAATGAGCTGCAACAGTAGTTACACAATCAGCCTTTCTGATCATGAAGGGCTTAGAGGAGGTGGCTCCCTCATGTTCATAGATGTTTCTTGCAGTTTAACGGCACAGTAATTACACCCTCCTCCCCCGTTTGCTCTCCTCTTTTCTTTTCATCTTTAACTGTCCTCCCCTCTCGTGTCTCTCGTCTCTCCGGCTCTCTTTTTGCCTCCCTCTCACCCTCTCTGTGCTCTCCTGTTTTGGCCCTTGACTCAGGCCATCTGTCCCTGTGTGGCATTGTGCTTCCTCACAAGTCCACCTCACACAGCGCCACATTCCCTCAGGCAGCATCACGTGGTCTGACGGGAAGCACATTACCATGCAGAATTCCCGAACGGCATCGAGCAGAGCCGGCTCATCCTCGTGCTTTCGCTGGAAGCTCACGCTGACAATCTCCCCGCTACGTAAACTGTCTGATAGAGTTTCCCATCACCCATCAGCCTGCTCAGAATATCCCAAAACAACCCTCAACTCTGTCAAGTCGAACTAGGTCAGGATATGTTTGCATCCCTTCACCTCCTGCTTCGCTGGCTCCCCAGCGAGGGGACCGCCAAAATTTGGGGAGTATTACGCAAGCGAGAAGTCTGCTGCGCTGGCCACAGCGGGGTGCCGGAGGAGGTCCGACAAAAGAAAATGGGTTAGGCTGCTATTATCCTCCCTGCAGTCCATCATCGGTCCCCTCGCCCCTCATTTACGCGAGCCATTATCACGCCAGTGTCCTTAGCGCACCAGCGTTTGGACTCTTTTACTGCAAACCAAGTGCAATTAATAATCATTAGCTGCCCTGTCTCTCTTCATCCCCATCAAGACCCTGCCTGCACCGTGGTTGGAGGACAAGAGCCAATCATGGAGCTGGGAGCACTCAGGCGTGCACTGCACTCGATGGCCTGGTGCTCAGCCATTCTTTGGTCTAACAGGCCATTGAGCGCTCGGCGAGGAGGGGCTCATTAACACTGGGCGCTCGTTAGAGAAGGGACGGCCGTCGCTGTGCCACACGCTGGACAGGAGAGGCCTGTGCCCACATAATCGGACCAGTCTCCCTCTAATTATCCGAGCAGACCTAGATTGTGCCGGTCTGCGAGTTGTCACATTGCTGCAGAGTGTGCGTCCGGTCGCTGACACCCCTCCCCAAACCTCCACACGGACTCAAAACCAGAGCAGTTTTATCCGTTACTGTGGCGGGGTGTCCCCGTTTGCCCACGCATTGTTTGGCTACTGTGAACAACCACAATGGACTCAGAACATTTTACCATCACGTCTCCTGTAAACACGACGTCGCACAGGACAAACCCGCCAAAAAATGCCGCCAAAGTTTTCCCTATTTTTGGAGCGATTACATGACCACAATTATTTGTATTCACAACAACCCCGTTTGTCCAAATGTTTCCCTCCTTAAAGGCCAGCTGCTCTCTTCTTTTACACTTCATGACTTAGTCAATAAAAGAATTAGTGCAGCGTGCTCTGGAGGCTCATGGAGCCACTTTTGTGTCTGTATTATGAAATCAGAACAGGTTTGCAATCAAATAGCAAAACTATACAAACTGGAAATGTGTAAATAAACTTAACCCTAATCTGGTTTCCTCTGCAAAAACTTGATCATATTTCTTCTTCTTTTTTTTCAGTTTTTGCAAAAAATAAGCTCTGTTGGAAAAACATATTTCAGACACTATTTGGTTTGGTTAGATGTAGGAATCTTCCAAATTTAAAAATAATATGTTGTTTTTATCTGTTTCAAAACATTAGGGAGTTTTTTATGTGTCTCTTTTTAACTCTGTAAAGCCTGAACCATGAAATAACTGTCATCCATCCATCCATTCTCTGAACCTTATCAGAATCGGGGGGTTTGGAGTCCATCCCAGCTACCACAGGGCGAGAGGTGGGGTACACTCTGGATGCCAAAATGCCAAAATAAACCTCATGTATCAGATATTATACACTCAATGTTAAACAGTTAAACATGTGTCTCTGAAAACCATGAAACCTTTACACGTGATTTTGAGCTACAGAAATACAAATGACTTGACAAACAAATAAATAAATGCATTTGAACAATAAATTTAAAAAAATGAAAATAAGGTTATAAATAGCTCTAAAAAAGCAGATGTTCTATGAACTAAATGATGTGCATCCACACGTTGTACAAGTGTGTGTCATACAATTTGGTAGCTTGTATTGTGTATGGGATTATTTAGGGTCTTTTTTATGTTTTTAATCTTTAGGCCAGTAAACTACTTGTGTTTTTTCCCCTCTTATTTAAAAAGAATAATAAACAATTCTATAGACACAAACAGCGCACGTTAGGCATTAAACATTACAAACATTTCTGTTAAAAACATTTTGTTTTAATGCTCTGCAGTGTTGTAACCGGTGCTGGGTGTAACACATTCCAAACTAACATGTTACTGTAATCACATTACATTTGTCAGTAATGTAGTAATGTAGCTAAATTGTACTAACTTCATTAATTACATTACAGTTAATTGTGTTGTTACTTGTGTTACATTTACTCAACACTGAGTGTTCGCCAGCTCCTGTTCTCTGGAACCGGCTAAAATCACTGTGGCTCTTTGGGCTCGTTTCCAGCTTTGCATTGGATCATGTGTGTCCTCATTAGGATAGGGATTTATGTCAGTATGTGGGACTGTAGCCTCAGCTTTATATTGTTAGCTGGTAATTGTGTAGCAATGTATTTCAGGTCATGTTATAGAATAATGCCAAAGTAATGCAACAATTACTTTTTCCGGTGAGTAATTAAGTAACGTACTGCACTACTTTTAAGACAAGTAACGTTTAAGAAATCACATTTTAATTGTGAATTTATCTGACTGGCAGTAAAGCCTTATTTCAAAGCAGCTCTCAGATCCGTTGTGATTTCACTTTATAGCTTTATAAAAATAAAGATAAAGATATAAACGTAGCTCCTCTCTTTCGGGAGTTTCCCAAAGCCTGAAAAATACCCTGATTACATCATCGGGGTAATCTCACTTTGGACTTGGATACATGAGTTTACAGGCAGAATTAAACCTTGAAAAGTTTTCAGCTCATGTTCTTATTTTTGCTTTTTCCTTTCAGCGAGTTTATGCGATCGCTAATCAGCAGCATGGACTTCCGATCCTTGGAAGTGAGACTCTTCAAAGCTAAGGTGCAGTGAAAGCTTCCTTTGCCTCATGTTTACACTCTGGAGTTTGTTTTCATGATGTGCCCTCAATGCAACATCAGATTAACTCACACATTAGTCACATTTATTCCACACACACCGTCCCCGCCTCTTTTCATGGCCTCGCTGGTATAATTATAATGAAATAAATGCTGGCAAACACTTTGAAGAGTAATTCCAAGGCATCCTTTATACAGCAAGCTTTTTTTTATGAGAGGCACTCACCCCTCATGCATAGAAATGAGGGAAGCAAGTCAGGGAGAGAAAGAGAGGGGTGCCTTTCCCTTTTCATAGATTAGCACAGCCTTAATCTCATTAAAGTGCCCAGCAGTGAACATGCCGTCCACTCCGCCCAGCCCTGTAATCAGCCTGAGACACACGGCTCATCTTAGATGGACCAGGATGGATCTACCAGCTGGCCCAGTACTCAGTCACAGAAGGAAGTACTGAGCAATAGAAAGGCAGGAGGAACATGAAAGCCTGCAGCCATGGGTTTGGAAACTGAGCCCCTGGCCAGGTAGGGAAGGCTTCGTAATTACAGAGCTGTTAGGGATAGGGTTGTTAACTGGAGAAGTTTGGGGGGGGGGCAGCAGCAGCAATGGGGTGTTTGCCAGAGGGATTATAACCCTCCCACCCCTCCGCCTCCGTGTCTGACAATTAGTACCTTGACTGCATTAACTGTGCAAACAGGTGCACTCAAAAAAGACTAGAAACAGCCTGTGGTAATCTGAGGCTTCCCTAAAGAGCACACACACAATAACAACACACAAGCGGTTCAAAGAGCAAGACCAGAGCCAGTTTTCCAAGTTTGAGGTCATGTCAAAAACTATGATTGTTATTAACTCCTGCAGCAACTTTTCCTGTTCCTCTTGGAGGACCAGCAGGGCGATGCGGGTGCTCAGAAGGGCTTCATCAGCGCAGAGCAGCTGCTGCTGGAGCTGAAGGCCGGGGGCATCCACCTGGATCAGGAGGTGGCCGTCAGACTGGAGCTGCAGCACATTCCTCCTCTGGACCTGCTGGACTTCTTAGCCTACCTGCCCCTCTTCATGCTCATTCACAAGTCGGTGATTTCCAACCCTTTTGATGACTCCAGCAACCTTTGACCTCAGCACTCTGTGGCTGACATCTCAGCTGAGCCACGTCTGCTTGTATGAAAAGACGACATGTGACAAACACAAAAATGATTTTAAAAAGGACATTTGTGGTGGAGATACAAAGTATTTCTTTTAAATTATGCAACTTTGTTGCATTTCTCTTCTAGCTTTAACCTTTAAATTTGCTGGTAACAACCAGCAAGACTGAGTTTAGAGTGGAAGAAACCATTATACCTTGCTATCTCCGCTGCACCTGAAACTTATTTCTTTCATTTTAAATTGCTCTAAATTAGACATTCAGCATTAGTTTGGGTTTCATAAAATGTATAGATATAAATAAGCACTAATATTTATGCAATTAGATATTTAGATCTTAAAGACGAACTCGCTGAAAGAATGCTTTCACATTCTAATGATAAAAACTATGAATACAGGATGTTTAGTAATTTAACAGACTATCAGAGACAAGTGTTTGTTGTTGGACGTTAAAAAATAACAGAAGCCTTGGTGATAAAAGCCACCAGAACAGAAGTTACACTGGATGTTTATGACACACTGATAAAAGATAAGTTGATCATTAGACTGACGATCCCTTAGGGACTTCTGTGGGGTAATGTTCAAACAATCTCTCTCCTCGACAGCTGTGTAAACACATATTTCCATATGAATACTTTGAATATAAACAAGAGTCAAGATTTTGGAAGCCAAAATGTTTTTGACCTTTTATAGTTCAATTAATGAATAAACCATGGAAATACAGTCGTGAAACCATCAGTTATCTTCTGTCAAGGATTCAGATTTTTATTGTCTCCTTTATTGTTTTCTGCATTAATAATGTAAACGCTCTGCAGCATGTGTGTGTGTGTTTATATCCACGTTACATTTTACACTTTGTTTGCACTGCGCTCCCTTTAGCAGTCATTTCAATTCCCTGAAAATAGAAATGAATTTACTCTGCACTTCCCACTCCATCTCTCATCTGTACGAGTGGCTGAATTTTATTGCCATCAAACAGTCTCAGGTGGTCACATTGCTGCTGGTCTCTTCCTGTGCGTATGTCCTTTACGTCACACGTGTGCTGAGTATGTTCTGTTTCCAGCCTCTTTCGTTTCTCTGAGGCATGTGGATCACGTCACAGAGCAGTAAAGTGCTGTCTGTGGTCCTGAAATCTTCTGTGGCTGCTGTAGTTTCAGAGTCTGACGCTCTGATTCATGTAACAAGTGCTCATTGTTGTGGAGTTTATTTTAAAAAAAAAAGACACAAAAACATTTGAGAAAAATGCAGCAGCGCAGCCGAGCTATTGGCTACCGTCCAGTTCAGTCCAACTTAATCAACACTGATGAATGATGTTCGCTAAGATACTCAACTGATGTGGTTTGAGCCTTTGTTTTGCCTAAGCTTTGCCAATTAGATATGGCCGCGCTCTCCTGCCGCTTGTGCACGCTTGACAGACTGCCGCTGAGGGAAACATAATGAGCTGTGACAGGCAGCAAACCTTTGTAAGCTCTATGTCACCAGAGAAAACAGCCAAAACTGCTTTTATTGTGACTCTTTAGATGCATGTTTTGAACTCCATCTAGTTTGAAAATTTGGCTGCAGGTGAGCTTGGGGTCTTCTTACCAGAGACTACAGGAGGAAATAAGCCTTGTATTATGTACTGTCCATTGTTCCTGCTAAATAAATACAGCTAAATTATAAAAAAGTAAACATTAACTTTCACTATCCTCCCCTTCCCTCCAATAAACACTTTCCTGCTGACTTTCTGGGCTCAGTCACTTGTTTTGTCATACTTAAAACAACTTGATTTTCATTTTGTAATTTTGGTCCTCCTCAGATTCCAGAAGGTTGTTAACATAGAGTATAGTTCATCATGTGACTGGGTGATTGGTCAGTGAGCTCAGATCCATATAGATTGGTTTTAAAACACTCAACAAGTCCATAAGCCTAAATGCATCTTTTATATAGAATCTATAAGGTTAAATGCATCTTTTATTTACAGTCTATAATAATAAACATGTATTTTGTGTACACTCTCTGGGCTTGCCCTACTTGCCATAAGTTGTCGTTTTATATTTTTAAAACGATCAAAAACATTGATTTTAGAGAAACAAAGTTCCTCACTCCATAGGTTCCTTGAGTCATAAAGTACCACTGTGTGGCTTTCCCCCCACTGCTGAGCCACATGACAAAGTCTGGGGACCTCTCACTGTTGGTTGTGTGTTGGAGGTCTTTTTTATTTATTCTGTTTTATTTATTTATTTTATTTTAATCCAGTCATCATAATTGTTTACTTGTTAAACTGTGATGGTGCTTGGCTGGAGGCTGCCATGCCTCTTACTTCACTTTTTTACACACTGAATTAAAGTTAAATTTGAAAAGTTTAAAAAAAATCACATCTAATTTTTAATGAAGTTCAAGATGCCTTTCAAAATAAAAGGTCTTGAAGTAAATTGAAAGAGGTGAGGAAATTAGAGATGTATTTGCACATACAAGAGTGGGATCAAACCTTTCTCGTGTGTTATTCTGATAGAAAGTTATTCCAAGCTGGCAGAAAATTTTACTCACATCAGAAAATATATACAGAATTTGGAGGCATCGTCTGTTTGATCTGAAGTGTTGCAGTGTTGTTTGAGGTGGGGAAACCTGTTTGTTTCTGTGCTTCTAATAAATAGATTAAGTGAATAGATATTATAATTGTTTATTAATTATTGTACAAACAATGAAGTGTCTGCAAGTTAATGCTAAACTCAGACAGTTTTCTAATAACTTGTGTTTTTGAATGAGCCAGGAGGACCCTCTGCCTCTCTCTCAGGCCCCCTGGTGGTCCACGAAGTCTCCTTTGTGCGCTCATATTTACAATAAAAACGAGTTTTTCCAAAGAATTTCACTAAAATATGTCTTATTTATGTATTTAACCCCATTTCTGCATAAACACCCACATTAACACCAACATGTTGAACCCCAGACACTCTGACGGATGTTTTTCCCCTCCCAGGTGGTGGTTGTGTGTTCAGCGGCATGCTGCTGTCAGGAGGCACACGCCATCAGCCAATTCAGCTCCGTGTCTCCACTCGACCACCATTCAGACCCCATTCACTCATTAAACCAGACACGCGTCCGGCTGCAGCCTCCGCCCTACCTGTCAAACTCAGTTGTGCAGAAACCTCAGAGCTCTAGTTCACAATCTCACGTCATGCCCTCCATCTGCAAATTTTAAAGCCTCCTGTTTACTTGAATTATATTTCTCGATGTGAGTTGAATTGGGGGAAATAGTGTCATTGTAATCCTACAACTTGGGTGATCCACCTTCCAGCCGCTTCGTGCGCACAGACGCTAAGGAAGACTAGCTTGAGAAGCTCACTCGTCGCTTCATTAACTGCAGACGTGTGTTCATTTTAAGGTCATGCTGTTAAGAGAAATATCACAGCAGTATTTTTATTTTTCACGACATCAATGTGGTGGAGGAGGTGTATGTGTGTTTTTAAAATGGGGACAAAGTGGAGTTTAACGCACGTTTTGCGAGTGTGAAAAATGCGTCTGTTGGGTTGAAGGTGCTGGCTGGTATTACAAAGGAGAAAGAGATAGCAGTGTGGGAGTTCTCTAGTAAAAGACCTGCGGCTACAGAATTAGTTGAGCCACTCTGCGCCCAGCTTCAAACAAAAAAAGAGAAAATGCATCGCGCGTAAAACGTGCGTTCCTCCCCTTTTATCTCGACGTATTCCATCTACTTATGTTGGTTTTAATGGCCACACAAGGAAAACTGTACCCCCCCCCCACACACACACACCACCACCACACACACTTTAAAATTAAGACATGAACAGTAATTCAGTAGCATCTCATTTTATTTTTAGACTAGAGTGTAGAAAATATGGTTATAAGACTTCTTATTTTCCGCTTATGTGGAGAGGATATAGAGCTGGCAGTATAAAGAGACAATGCGTGGCTATTGCACTCTGTTTGGACAATAGCTGCATAAGTTTTTGATCATTGTGACATGACATAATGCAATAACGTGGTTCTGCTATTAAATAAGACACATCGGTGCTATAGGATAAAACATCGGAGTATCAAACTCCCTCTGGAAACCTCGTGAACACGACAGCCAGAGAATAATAGACTACACGTCTACATAGGCAGGAGGTATAGAAGCGACTTCGCAAATATATAGACAAAATATATACAAAAGGATGTGTACAAAACATCTATAAATCTCTTACATACAAAAATATCTTAATATATCTTAAAAAAGAGCGTTTGATATAGAATTTTATAGAATAAATCCGTGACTTGGAAGCATTTTTTCTGAAGTCAGCGTCTGAGAGAGAGTTGGTGCTGCTGTGATGGGGTTGGCATAGAAGAGTTTTTAATGTGCTGAGAGCGTGAATCGCTTTAGGGTCATTTTCTTTTGTTTTTTTAATGTTTGTTTGTTTTTATCAAGGGGACACACAGAAAGTTTGGATTCCCACGCTGCATGTGGGAGACCCGTCTTCCTTTAATCCTTTGGCGCTGATCTCCGGCCTGATATTCAGTTAAGGCTCCGGGACCCTGCTGAGTCTGTCAGGTGGACTGGGGAGGACCATCTTGTTCTTCTCCTCCTCGGGACCATCCCAAGCCCAGGAGAGCAATAAAGTGAGCTGATCCATATTTCTGCGAGGAGGAGGAGAAACGGGAAGTTAGGTTTGTCAGGAGTTAAATGACGTTGGTGCCTGGAACGAGCGCGGTGACGTGTGCGCTTACCTCGCACGGATGCTCTTCAGAACCAGTTTGTGAAGTCCAGCAGCTCCTGCTCCTCCGGACTTAGGGGGTCATATGAGCCCTCGTCGGATGAGTAGGAGGACACGGGGGAGCCTGCCATGGAGTTCATGTCCGCGGAGTATCCCTGCGACATGCCGGGCGACAGCACGCCCGCCTGGAACGCCGCGCTCACGGCGTCGTGCTCGTCCAGCAGCTGCTGCAGCGCGCGGATGTACTCCACGGCGGAGCGCAGTGTCTCCACTTTGCTCATCTTCTTGTTGGCGGCGCCGTTTGGCACGTGCTCCCGCAGCGTGGCGAAGCCGTTGTTGACCAGCTTCACGCGGTTGCGCTCGCGCTCGTTCCTGCGCGCCACCGCGTGCGGCTGCTGCTGCGGCAGGCTGTAGCCGAAACCCGCGAAGTTCAACCGCCGCTTGCAGCGCAGCAGCTCCGGGGAGGAGGAGCGCGGACGCTTCGGTTGCTTGCTCGCGGACTTCCCGCCGCCGCTCGCGCTCAGCTGGACGCTCTGAGCGGAGAAGAAGCACGCGGGCGGCATCAGCTGCTGCTGCTGACTCGCGTTAATTTCCATTTTGGTCGTGAGGTCCGAATGCGCGTGTGGGAAAAAACCCAGAAGTTTTAGAGAATCGCAGAGATTCCGGGAGCGCGTCCCGCTCGTGCCGTTCACGTGCTGTGGCCGCTGGTCGTGCACTTGCTCCAGTGTGGAGGGGGGGTGCTACTATTGGTTAGGGGGGCAGTCCCAGCTCCGCTGATGCTGCCTCACGCTCCTCAAAGCTGCTCTGAGCTCTCGGAGAAAGACGCCACTGCTTTTCAACACGGCTGGCTGAGGGGCTGGCCACGCCCTCTGGTCGCGTGGATACACCTTGGGCTCCTGCCCCGGTACCGGTGCGCCGCGCGCCTGACGCGTGCCACTTGAAGCACTAAACAAACAGTGAGAGGAGAGGGGGTTTTTTTACGAGAAGGTGAATCAGACTCATAGAAGTCCACACCGAACTCAGTCTGACGCATTTCCAGGTGGATAGTCACGCGTTTTGTTTTGGGTTTGTTTTTTGTTTTTTTACAGGTCAGCCAAAATAAAGAAGAGCGAGAGAAAA